AGATCCACCCATCTTAAAACTGGCCAAGGTTGAGAAACACTGACCTAGGTGTTATCTGAAGTAAAGATGGTTCAGGAGACCTTTTCCCCTTAAATTGAAAGTACATGGTTTACAATGAAAACCACTTGGGAAGGAAGGTGGTGTCTGCCAAGAAAGTTGTCTGTGAACCGGTGATGGAATATAATTTAATGGTATCTCAGCTATGTGGATAGATGATTAAATAAAAGGTAGGTGGATGGGAATGATGGATGGAATGACATATTTTGCATACAAAAAAAGCCACATTCACTCCCTGGCATCTCTACACAGGGCTAGAAAATAGTTCCATCAGAAACCCTGGAGAGCTGCAATAATGTTCAGCTAGACAGACAGTTCCAAGCCAAATGAAGCCACAATCCGATCCAGGAAAAGACAGCACATAATATGCATCAGAGTAGAGCTGTGCAAGTTTCAGATTTGTCGTCAAAAAGATGCTTCAGAGTACAGGAGAGTATGAATGTAGCACCAGTCTGCAACTCCTTACATCACATGCTGCAGAGAACAGCCTCATGATCCTGAAAAAAAAGATGCAGCTGCTTTAAAGACTGATCACTCTGATGCACCTTTTTGCCTTCAAATCTAAAGTGCTGTACAGCTTTAATATGGATATTCAGAGAAAGACAAAAACTAAACAGAAGGTCCTAAGTCTATGAAAACCAAGGGTTAGTAATACACTGATGACCTTTCCAGAGTTGTATTCCAGAATACAGTGGGCAGACAGAAGCTAGGCTGCTTTTCTCTACCCCACAGACTTTAACAGCAGGCCTTTCATAATCAGGAAATGCTTTTTGAGAATTTAGTAGCAATGTTTCTTGTCAACCTCTAGGGGTCAGTGCAACCTAGATTTTGATGGCATGCTCACATCCTTTTTGCTGTTCAACTCCCATAGCATTATAATCTTTGCTTGTATCTGTGCTAGCAAATTGGCACTGTCATTGTCAGTTGTAAACCACATCACACCCCCTGGAACTTCACTGCAATCAGTTCTGAACAGCAGGACTCCTCAGTCAAGGAACAGGAATCTTCTACAAAGTCCTACCTTGCTGAGTGAGCGGCAGTATTTACATGGACTAAGTGAAAACATGCAAACTGTCTCTGTGATTTCCCTTACCTTGTCTTTGTCCAAGTCCTAATCGTTAACAGAATCCCTCCCTACTGATATTTTCACTATACTGGAAGAAGCAAAAACTCAATCTTGAAGGTTGAAGAGGTCCAGGATGTCTCTCATCCTACAGAAAAAGGATTAAATGGTGATAATGTCAGTTAATTTAAGCAAAGCAGGGAAAGGAAATGGCTTAGGACATGAAGCAGAACATAAACAGAAAATAAGCGTGCTAGTTTGAGGGGGCTGCAATTGCATGATGTAGAAAGGGGAATGGATGCAGTGGTGGTTTCTGGGGGACAAACCAGGAAACTGCACAGAGCCTCACAGTTCCCCCCCCCATCTACCCCATTTATTAATAAGTGAAGATTTAACATAGGTTTGAATTACAACTAACAAAAAGTCTATAACTTTTATTTCATATATTTTGTAATATTTTTCATATCTGAAACAGAAGACATAGTATGTTACTGTTGTTTCCACATTAAACAATGATTAATTCTTTCCTCTTGTAGATGACAGAAAATATGTTCCTACATCCACCTGTGTTTATCAGGCAGTCATGGGAATTAACTAGTTGGTTGTTAACTGGAATGAGAAGACTCTTCATAGAATGTAACATTTATTATAGGAAAATACCTACAAATAAGCTATTTTAAAACCATGGTAGTAGTATTTGCCAAAAAGCTAAAGAGGCATAGATGGATCCTAGATGGTAAGGAGATAGAATAAGTGAGGTCATTCAAGTATTTGGGCATCCATTTTACTGAAACAGTAGCATGGAAAACACATAGCATCAGCAAGAATGACAGCTATGAGATACTGTAAATGAGAGCCATTTGCTCCTTTTTTAATTCAAAAGGAGGCCAGTTAGTACAGCCTGGTCTTGGGATCTTCCAGGGGAAAACAATCTCATAGTAGACATATGGGCCCCAATTGGGGGGTTTAAGTAAACTTGAGGAACTGGGGGGGGGGGGCCAGAAACAGTTTATGAAAACAGTTCTACCTTTTGGCCTTTGTACCCTG